GTTGAATTCTCTCCTTTATAACAAATTGCAATTTTTTACTGTTTGATAAAATCACGGATACATCTGAGTGATCTAACTGACTTTGTTTATCTATAATTTAATAAATTTAACTATTTTATCATTATTATTATCAGTTTATTATTTAACAATTATTGAATCATAATTTTCTATTCGTTCATCCAATTTTGTCCATCTAATAAATTTTAATAAAGGTCTCGACTATTTATTATTTAGCAATTATGGAATTATAAGTAAGGTAAAAAATGGGGTTTCTTTTTTCCCTTTAAATGAATATAATAAATTTTATTGATATCAATTCGCGTTACAACAATAATTACAATCTTTTTTCTTGAGCAATTAAATATCGACTTTAAGAACTTTATTTTTCTTTTATAAAAATTTACATTTTTTTTTTATTGCTTTTATTATTATTATAAATAAAGAAAATGATTTTACATTTACATTTAATAAAGTAAGAATGTTTAGAAAGGATATATGTATACATTCAAAAATATAAATCAGATATTCAACAGTTTATTCAACGATATATGGAAGAAAGCCCACAAGTATGAGTAAACCTTTTATGGTTGATCATTTATCCGGCAGTAAAATGAAGGAGGATTTTTAACAATATGTGTATTAGTAATGAACATAACCTTGGTGGATCCAAAATTTACAAATGCAATTCATGTAGTTTTAAGATTGATAGGGATCAAGAAACATCTTGCTCAAACACCCGAGTCAGGGAAACCTGACGTTGTGGCTTACCACGTTCAACCCGTAAAAAGGTTGTTCTATAAACCAAATACCAACGGTATCTTTTATCGCGAATGTTTGGTTTTTTATCAAAATAATTTATAATATGCTTCATTTGCCATGACGAAATGTTAAAATAATATTCAAACAATCAGATGACTAATTATCATTACATGAAGATCCCTGAAAATTTATACATCAACTTTGAATATTGGTATTATCTGTATTATTTTGTTTATAAATAAATAATACTTTTAATTTATTTAAATACACGTAATTAAGTAATTAATTAATTACAAAGTTTAAATGCTGTACCTTATTTATTAAATGGCTTACTATTATCAATTTCATTTAATGGTTTTCAAATAAATTTATTAACTTCTAAGAATTTTTTTTTTTAAATTATAGTTAAATTCAAGAAAGAAATTGTTTTAACAAGTTATACCATTTTTTATATTATCATTAGATTTTTGATAAATTAATGAACTTGATGTTGATTCAGGTTAAATTGATAATATTACAAGTTATTACATTTGAATAAGATAATGTATCGTCTAATCTTTATCACTTGGAATAAATATTAGTAAATTTTATTTACACTACCTTCAATTTCATTTTCTTCCTCAATTTCAGGATTAAATTCATTAAAGTTTCTTCAATATTATTAAAATTCATTATACTTTTACAATAATATTTCAGAGAAATTAATAAAGTTCATTTAAAGTATTTATTATAAAGAAAAATACAATGCATTGGTTTTTATTTTCGGTTAAAGTTAATTTCGGTCACATGGAAAATGAAGTTAAAACATAAAATTATACAATAATTTCATAAAGATTTTAGGAATTCCCCTTCAGGGAAATCAGTGTAATTCTTAAATTTTCGTGAAATTATTAATACTTATCAAATTATCAATTATCAAAATCAAAAATTAAAAACGTATGGATTATTTAATTTTTATTAAATTATTATACAAATTTCAAATAATTATAGTTATGGAGTTATTACGGTTTCTAAGATTTCTAATAAGTATTGTGGAATTCCTCTTCTTTGCTCGGGTTTTAAATTATCGACATACCTTTTTAAAGCTTTCGATAAAGTTTGATCTCGTTGTTTTAAAATATCTTGAATTTGAGTTTGAGGTAATTGTAATAAAAATTTAAAATTATTTGGTTTTATCTAAATAAATAAATATAATAATTATTAAAAGTATTAAAAATTAAAAAAAAAAAAAATAATAATTGAAATTTATTAAAATTGATTAAAATAATATAAATAATATAAATATTTATACCTTTAAACAAAATTCGGTACAATATAATATAAATCCTTTACGCAAAACTTCATTTTTCCATATATCAGTTACTTTTCTTATCAACAAATCATTAACAAATCCTGCCAAAGCATTATGTGCTCTAACACTTAATGTAACCTTAAATAATAATAATAATAATAATAATAATAATAATAATAATACATTAAAAATAAATACATAAATTAAAAAAATAATATATTAAAATTAATTTTATATGATCACTTACTGTTCTCATAAATGTCATAGGTAATTCAGATTGTACGGATAAATGTTGTAACACTGCACCCAAAATTTGTTGATTAAATATATTTGCTAACGTGAAACATGTATGAATAGCTATAGAAAATCAAAGAAAAATAAAGAAATATATATATATATATATATATATTTATATTTATTAGTTTATAAATAAAATAGATAAAAAAATTAATATTCACCAAATTGATTTAGATTTACCTTCAACGGATTGTTTTAAAGGTACATCCATTTGATGTAATGAAACTAATAATTCACTTGGTGTTATTGGTGTGACACCATTTGTTGGGGTTACTATTTTTAGAAAAACTTTTTTAACAATATCTCGTTGTTTTTCTGTTGCATCAAGGGTAGAGACAACTTTAGGAAGATATCGTGATATTTCATCCTATTTCATTTTTTAAATAAATTTTTAATAAATTTATTTATTTATTTTTTTTTTAATGAAATGAAGAGGACTAAGAAATTACTTCTTACCTTTTCAAAATATGAAATAATAGGAAAAAGAAATCTTCCATCTAGATTCCTTTGCGTGATTACTGATTTAACTGTATTAGTTAATTGACTTGGTGGTGTTCCTTGTTTATAACAATAAAATTTTAAAAAGATTAAATTATTTCTGTGATTTATTTATTTATTAAAAATTATTTATTTTTTAGTTACCTGCTTTATTTGTAAAAACAACCAACATCTTTAACACGAAATCTTCAGCTCCATTAGGAAAAGTACGAAAAAGTTGAATTAATCCATTCAATCCAATTGTATCAATGATTTTTTGTGCATTCTTTCGAATCATAACTTGTATTGGTTCAGGTGTTCGAATGTAAGCTGAAATTAATCTAAAAATAATAAATAATAATAATTAGAAAATGAAATGACTAAATTATGAGAATAAAGAGAATAAATAAAATATTTAATTAATTAATAATATTAAGAAAATTCTTACTCATTAAATAATTCATTTTTTTTTGAACACAAAGAAAGAAATAAATCTATGTGGCGATCAACATCTTGTTGAGCCCATTTCCTCGTTTCAAGTTCATCGTCTTTTGTAATTATTTCTTTTGTATCATCTACCCCACCAACATGATAATGATAATCAAATAAAGTTGGTGGAATTTCGTGACAAATTTGTCGAAGTGATTCTAATGCAAATAATTCAATAGTTTGACTTATTTCCGAATGATTAGGATACCATTTATTAACAACTGTGATCGCTGATGTTCGTGTACTTTCATCTATTAAAATAGAATATAATAAAGATTTATAAGATTCACAAAAAAATATTTTAAATACTTTAATAAAATTTTAATAATAAATATTTATTTTTCTAACCTCTATGTAAACAATAAGCCAATAAAATTTTCATACAAAATGATCTTGCAGGTGGTCGTAAATCAATTAATTCACTTAAAGTAGAAAATCCCAGCATCCTCCTAATTTAAATTTATAAAATTTATAAAAAAGGTATTAGAGAAAAAAAAATGAATTACAATGTTAATCATAATCTTTTAATAATAATATCCGCCAACCTATCAGGATCATTACAAAATATTTTTATGCGATCAACAATATCTTCGACCAATTCTGGAACATCTAATAAAAATTGTGAGAGAACTCGATCTTCAAGTGCTGGAATTATTCTATCCAACAATCGACTAATCCAAATTACATAATTAGATTTCTAAAGAATAATAATGAAAATTTAATTTTTAATTTTTGTTTTCATTTTATTTTATTTTATTTTATTTTTTTGTATTTTTTTGAATAACACAAAAAAAATTATAATAAATTATAATAAATTAATAACTTATAATAAAATATAATAAATTAGAATAAAGACATAATAAATTAAGAAAGTTACAATTTTTAATAATAATTGCAATAAATTCTAATAAATTTTATCTTACATGAGATGGATCTACTCTCTGCCTAACAATATCATGATACCATTCTTCATCAAGCCATGTCAGTGCAAAATCCATTCTAATTTTTTTTTTTTTTTTTTTAAATAAAATTTAATAAATAAATTTATATAAATCAAATCCAGATATATAATATAAATATATATATAGATTATATAATTTACCTATTCTTAAAATCTTCAAGAATATGCTGAACCACAATTTCTCTTAATTCATTATTTGTCTTTTCAGTTGCCTCATTAGGAAATTCAAGACCTCTTGTCAATAATCTAACTGCCATAACATGTAATTGTGTTCTGGTTAATCTTTTCCCATTAGATAAAGTAGTAAGAACAACATTTGATCGAGTTCCTTTTACTTCAGTCGATAATTTTGATTCTATTTCTAAAATATTTACAAGTACAGTTTTAATAAATGTTTGACATTGTTCTTCTGGTAAATTTTCTGGTGGTGGAAGAACATATGGTTGAAATTTGAAAGTTGGTGTTGCAGGTGGTAAATCTTGATCTTCTGATTCAAATTCTAAATCTTCTAATTGATCTTCTTGTATTTCTGATTGTTCATTTTCATCATTTTCATCATCTTCACTTATTGATTCAACTTTTTCTGAATCTTCTGTTATTTCCATTTCATCATGTTCCTCAGGTACTATATTTTTCTCAGGAAAAAATTCTTCAATTTCCATATCATCATCATATTCATATTTGATTTCGGGTTTAACTGGTTCTTTGGTTTCTGGAGTTTCCGAAGTTTCTGTAGACATGAAAATAATTTCTTCTTCTTCTTCACTTTTAACTACAGGTGGTGGTGATGGAGATTTGGGAGTTGATTCTCTTTGAAACTCTAAACGTGGATCACGTACTTTACGTTCTTCACGTGTTTGTTTTATATTTGTTTGTTGTGATGTCTGTGGTGTCAATAAATTTCTTGTTGCCATATTTGCTTCTCGTTGTTGCAAAGTCTGAATTAATATTTAAATTAATATTTGAATTAACATAAGATTATTGTTACCATTTCAATAATTAAATAATTGAACTAGAAAAATTTCTTACCTGTTTCGCTTGTAACAATCTCTCTTGTGGAATCGCTTGTAAAGCGTAATGTATAACATCAACTACAAAAGGTATTGAAAATTGTGTTGGATCGAAAGATAACTAAAGAAAAAAATAAGATCGTAAGAATAATTAATAAATACAAATATGCATATAAATATAAATAATAACAAATTATTATTAATAATAGTAAAAAAAAAAAAAAGAAATTCACCCCGTTGTTCCCATTGTTTCTATTGCGTCTTTGTCCAGAAGTTCTAAACCCATCTTCTATTCCTTCTTTTTGATACAATAATCTTCTAAATTGTCTTGGAAATTTCATGGGATCATTTCTACCACCCAATATTATGATGGCATCAAAAACTTCATTAATAAACGGTAAAGATTCAAATAATGGAATTCTAATGAATTTATTATGAATAATAAAACGAACTTTATAAGTAATATTTTCTTTAATCATGAAAGATTATGTTAACAAAAACAAGAAGATTAATTAAAAATTAATTAATTAAGATAAATTACCTTAAAATTGTCATTAATTGAATCTTAATTGTTTTCTTTACACTTCTTAATTGAAGTTCGGATAAATGTGTAGGTGGATTCTTTTTCCATTTAAGAACAATATTCACCAAAGGATAAATATATTGAGGTCTTGACCTAAAAACTGGTCCCAAAGCATTAATAATTGCAGTAATAACATTACTTGATCTAGAAGAAGATGATTAATTAATTTAATTATTAAAAAAACTACTTTCTTTATAATAAAAATAAAACAAAATTAAAAAAAAAAATAAAATAATAGAATTCCTACTAACTCTTTATTTAAAAGACTATACAATCCATTTATAATTGAGATCGCTTCTTTCTCTAATGCAAAAGCATTTAATATAGGGTGAGATTGAGGACATAATGACAATGAAATGTCTTCTTCAGGTCTCACCTGAGAAAAATACGTATAAAAATATAGAATTAAAATTAAGTTGATATTAATATAATATTATAATATTAAATAATAATATCAATAAATATTAAAATATTTATATTAAATATTAAATAATAATATCAATAAATATTAAAATATTAATATTAAATATTAAATAATAATATCAATAAATATTAAAATATTAATATCAATAATAATATCAATAAATATTAAAATATTTATATTAAATATTAAATAATAATATCAATAAATATTAAAATATTAATATTATAATATCAAATAATAATATCAATAAATATTAAAATCAAAATAATTATAATAATAAAATATTAAAATATTAAAAATATTAAAATATTAAAATTAAAATATTAAAACATTAAAATTAAAATATTTAAAATATTAAAATTAAAATAATAATAATATTAAAGAAATATAAAATTACCAAAGAATCAGGAACGTGACGTGATTGAACAGTTGAAACTACTTGTAAAAACTTTATTGCACTTATTTTAATTCCTTGTTTGGTATCATCGGAATCAAAGAAACGCATTATATGTATTTTTATGAAAGTTGCTATGTTCCATAATGAACTAGCATCATGTTGATTTTCACATCTAAAATATAATTAAATATGGTAAAAAATTTTCGTAATATTGATTACTGAAATAAAATAAAAAAAAAAATGATTATTAAATACTGACATTCTTTCGAATAACAAAGAATAAATGCCGGCACTCAGAAGAATCACTTTCTTAATAATAGTAGTCAATTCTTCAAAGTTGATTGTATATTCTATTAAAGGCAAAACTTTACCTAGGCCTTAATTGACGGTTTACTTGTGAGGTTAAAGATAACTTTATTATTGATCCTGTCAATTTTTAAATTTTAATAAATAATAAAAAAAAATAATAATAAGAAGACTTGAAAAAAAAAAAAGAAAGAAAATAATAGGCAAAAAACCAAAATTCAAAATTCAAAATTCAAAAAAAGACGAAAGGATACACTCTTTTTTTTGTAATCTATTATAAACCGAACTTCTACATAATACCCACTCAAAAAAATCAATAGTCCATTCTCTAATTTCGGATATCGAATCTTTTATTAAAACACTAATTTTTTCTAATAATCCAAATTCCAAAAGTTGTTTTTCGTTTTCAATTAATTGTTGTAACGAAATTAAAGCCTCCACTCTTAGTTGTTGGTCTTTTTGACTATCGGTTGCTCGGTCTAATAAAACTAATATTCGACTATCTTTAATCACATATTGATTATCCATTGTCGAAAAAAATGGTTGTTGAAAAAAAGAAATAAGATAATAAATTCGACAATTCGATATTTATTAGATCGCTTATCAATTTAAAATTATACCTTTTTTTAGCCTCTCCCACTGGTTGATTGAAATTGTGTACACGTCAATAAAGACGTCAATAAGAAAGCTCTACATTTTATCCGAAATCATTTGACTCATGCATTGTTGAAGAAATATCATTTCATTTGGGTCGAATTTACGAATTTATTTTATTTATCGAATTTAAATCTGGATTAAAACATGAAAACAGGTGATTTATAACTTGAAATTATTTAATTATTTATTTATTGAATCCTTATTTAAATTAAATTAAATTATTTAAATTATAATTTGATAATTTGATAAAATCAACTTTTATTTCCAAAAAATTAAATCAATTAATAAATCGAATTCCAGAGAATCTTTGAAAATTAAATTAAAAGTGATAAAGAATTCTTTATTTCTCTTTCTATTATAATATTTTTTAGTTAAAATATTAAATATTAAATATTAAATATTATTTAAATGAATGATAATTAAAGGTGTTACCTTTATGATTGACAATTTCGCGAGTTACTATCTATATAAGGTTAGAAAACTGGAAAATCACAAAGATTAAAGTATGAAGCGTTTCATCTTCTTGAGACTTGACAATGCATTGAAGGTGTTTAAACGTGCTTAAACAGAAAAAAGAAGACGATATGAGAGAGAGAGGACTGGTCTATATGGCTGCTATTTTTGTTTCACGAAATTAAAATTTTAGTGCGACCCTTTTTTTCAATTTTTTTTTTTGCCATGCTAATTACCAGATAAACTTTCCACGTGCAGAGAAAATTATTTTTTTTTTTTTAAAAAAAAAAAAATTTCAATTCTTTTTTTTGGAAAGTTTTCGAAATAGAGATTCGTATATATTTAAATGATCCAGATTTTTTGAGAAAATAATAATTCGTAGATAGTATAATTTTCTTTCGTAAACCAAAGTTTTATGCATTATGCATTTAAATCTTTAGCATTGGTTTCGATGTTCAAATGTAAATCCAATCCATTGCTTTAAATTAATTAAATTTATTAATTTATTATATATTTATGCACGCCTCATTAGCACCAATAAAAATAAATGAATATGCGCAAGAACAGTTGCACTTTTCTTTATGTATCTATAATAAGCTTTCACTAATTTGTCTAATAGTACCTGTGCTATATACAGGTGTTTAAATACACCACTTATCTTTCATTTATAAATAGATCTTCGAAATTCCAATTACTTTAAAACTTAATAAAAAGATTTTAGTTTTAATAAATTATATAATATTTAATAATATATGTGGTTGGTTTTCAAGAATCTGCAAAATATAAATTATATACTTTCAAAGTACAAGGGGAAATATTGCCAATATGTATTAGTAATAAATACAAAATTTCTTATATTACATTCGTTGCATAATTGATCTAATTTATTTAAAGTCTTTACGATCATTTCGAGTTGCAACGAATTATTCTCGGACTGGTCAATTTTCCGTACTTAATTAAACCATGGTGCACGACAGGTCACTTTATTTTTTTGTGAATAAATATGCCAGACTTTTCGGAAACCTTCCTCTTCATCTACCCTCACCCTTTGTACAGAAAAAAAAATCCTTCGCTTCCATTTTTTGTGTTTCGGAATAGTCTTTATTGATATTCCGTTATACCATTCCCTTATTAAAAAAAAAAATTCACTTTCCTTTCCTTAGCTTCGCTTGTCATTCCTCCACCAAACCCTCTCTACTTTCTTTCTTTGAAAAATATTTTTATTTTATTTTATTGATTATACCTATCTTTACATTTTCATAATTATCACCAATTTCGAAATTCCTTATCATTCATCTTTTAACGTTTTTAATCAATTAATAGACAAAAAAAAAAAAAATTAGACTCAGCTAAAAAAAGTTATTAACCAAAATGGAAGGTGGTTATCCGAATAGAAGTTCTACGATGATGACTCGTCGGAAAACGCTTAGCAGGCCTGATAGATATCAAGCGGCCGCTCCTATGTTACCCGGAAATGAAGGGTCAAGTTTTGATCCTTGGGTATTTTTTTCTAAACTTGTCACATTTTGGGCACCTGGTCCTGTTTTATCTTCCATTGGCCTTCACGATGCACAATCAAAACAAGCTTGGCGTGAAAAAATAGCTTTATGTTTTATTGCGGTTCTTATGGGTGGTACTGTTGCTTTCTTAACTGTTGGTTTCACTGTCGTATTATGTCCTCCTTCGCAAGCAAGTAACCCTAATATGTTTAAACATTATGGTGATTCACCTGGTAATTTTAAACTAATTTTTGTTTATAAAAATATATCAAATTTAATATTTATTTAATTCCATTCAAATAATAATTTAATTACTTTTTTTTTTGTTACTTTATGATTATTAGGTTTCCTTGGTATTCAAGGATGGCAATTTGATGTAGAAAAGGCTCCTACAGTCAATAACTTTGATTTTAAAACCAGATCCTTATTAAATAACAGTGAAGATATCACAAATAGTTTTAAACGCAGAAATGAAGATATTCCTGCATGTCAAATTCCAGAAATACAAAAATATAAAGCCGTTAAACAACAATTATGTGAACCAGCCTCAACATGTCCCCTTGAATCTATTTCAGAAACCATTTTTACTAAATATCAAATTACTAACAGTTCAAAAAAAGTTGGTTATGATTGGGGTGATGTTGGTAATTTGACTAATTATTTGGTCATAGATGGTGCTGTTCTTAATCTTGATCCTTACATCTCAAACAATCAAGTCCCAATTGAAGGAGATCAAGTAGATCAAATAATCCGTACAGTTTTAAACACGAACCATACTAAAGGTGGAAAAGATGCCACACGTTTATTCTTTGGTAGATCAGAATTAAAAGCTTCTGTGAATTGTCTTGTTGCTAAATATTACGCCGGAAATATTGATAAACAGACAATTGGTTGTTTCACTTCCCAACTTTTCTTATACGTTTCTCTTACCGTTATCTTGAGTATTGTCATGGTTCGTTTCTTCATGGCTTGTGTATTCGATTGGTTTATCTCTCATCGTCTCGCCCTTAAACCAAAGAATAAAAAAATGCCTCCCATGTCTTCCGCAAGTTTCGTAAGTGCAGGTGGTAAACCATGGGCTCCAGGAAGTGGTAGTACTATCATAAAAGGAATGAGTATGGATGATGTTGGTAACGACTTATTTACCGTGTTGCTCGTCACTTGTTACTCTGAAGATGAAGAAGGTATAAGATGTACTTGTGAATCTATGGCTGCTACGGACTATCCTGATGATCGTAAATTGTTGTTCCTTATTTGTGACGGTATTATCATGGGAAGTGGTAACGATAAAAGTACTCCCGATGTTTGTGTTGATCTTATGGAAATTTGTAAGTAGAAATTTTTTTTTACTTTTCGTTTATTATGACATGGAATTATTGTCTTTATTTTTTTTTTAAAAAAAAAAAAATATTATTTAAAATTATAGCACCTGAAAACAGAGATCCTCAACCTCAAAGCTATGTTGCTGTAGCTTCTGGAACAAAACAACATAATATGGCTAAAGTATACGCTGGTTTCTTCCGTAAGTAAAAATATATATATATATACATACCAATTTTTTATGCGAAATGAAAAATTATTATTTACCATAATTTTTTTTTTTTTTTTTTAAAAAAAAAAAAGCATACAATGATCGTAAAGTACCTATGGTAACTGTTGTCAAATGTGGTGCCCCCGAAGAACAAGGCAAACCAAAACCAGGAAACAGGGGAAAACGTGATTCCCAATTAATTTTAATGAACTTCTTCAGCCGTGTCGTTTACAACGATCGTATGTGTGCTTTGGATTATGATTTGTTTAGAAAAATTCATAAATTAATGGGAGTTACTCCTGACTATTTCGAAATCGTACTTATGGTAAGAAAACATATTTTCAAGTTTTAAGTGATTTATTTATTTATTTATTTATTTTTATTATTTTTATGATAATAATAATAATAATAATAATAATAATAATAATAATAATAATAATTAATAATAACAACATAATAGGTGGATGCCGATACAAAAGTTTATCCCAACTCTTTAAGAATTCTAATTAATTGTATGTGCAACGATCCTCTTATTATGGGTCTTTGCGGTGAAACTAAAATTGCTAACAAACGTGATTCATGGGTTACCGCCATTCAAGTCTTTGAATATTATATTTCTCATCATTTGGGTAAAGGTTTTGAATCAGTATTTGGTGGTGTTACTTGTTTACCCGGTTGTTTCTGCATGTACCGTCTCAAAGCTAGAAAAGGTGATGATGATTGGGTTCCAATTGTTACAAAACCTGAAGTTTGTCGTGAATACTCTCAAAATACGGTCGATACACTTCATCAAAAGAACTTATTACTTCTTGGTGAAGATCGTTTCTTAACCACCCTTATGTTACGTAACTTCCCACACCGTAAAATGATGTTCTGTCCAAAAGCTGTTTGTAAAACTGTTGTACCTGATGGTTTCTTCGTTTTACTTTCTCAACGTCGTCGCTGGATTAATTCAACTATTCACAACCTTATGGAACTTGTACTTGTTAGAAATCTTTGTGGAACATTCTGTTTCTCTATGCAATTTGTCGTGTTTATGGAATTGATTGGTACTGTTGTACTTCCCGTTGCTATTATATTGACATACACATTAATCGCAGGATTAATTATGAAACCACCTCAAAACTTTACGGAAGCCATTCCACTTTTGATGTTGCTTATGGTTCTTGGATTACCTGCTATATTAATTTTAATTACTACTAGAAAATTAATTTATGTCGCATGGATGTGTGTATATCTTTTGGCTTTACCAGTATGGAACTTTATTTTACCAACTTATGCTTACTGGCATTTTGATGATTTCTCATGGGGAGAAACCAGAAAAGTTGAAGGAGAATCTAAAGGAGATGATCATGGTAAAAAAGAAGGTACATTTGATGCATCAAAAGTTCCGACAAAACGATGGGAAGATTGGGAACGAACTAGACTTAGAAGAATTAAACGTCAAGAACGTCAACGAGCACAAAATGGAGGTAATGGTCCTACACATTTAAACCATCAAGTGATGGCAGGTGACGATCAAAATAATGCGTTACTAAAATCTGAATATTATGATACCGCTTCAGTACATTCTCAAACATCAGGAGATCTTGGACCACAACAACAATACTATGATTATTCATCAAACACTACTGCGTATCCACCACAGAATTATAATCAACAATATGAAAGTGAACAGTATGAAAATGTACAATTTGGAAATTCACAATTTGGAAATACACATGAACTAGAACGAGCACCATCACCAAGACCAGGTGGTAATAATTATTATTAAGAATTTTAAATTTATATTATTATAATTTTGTATTTAGGTTAAAACACCAAAAAACAAAAAATTTTACAAAACTTTTAAAATAGACAAATCAATATTTTCAATAGCATAATCTTTTCATATTTTTGTATTAAGGTTAAATAATTTGCATAATCACAAAAAAGATTTTTTTTTTTAAAAAAAAAATATTAAAAAAATAAATAACTTTTTTTGTGATTTTTTTCTCAGTTCTAACATTATTATTAATTTATTATTAATTTATTATTAATTTATTATTAATTTGTTATTAATTTGTTGTTATATATTTTCATTAAATTAAATTCATTTGTTTTTTTTTCCAATAACTTTTTTCGGTTATATAGAATTACAACAAATTTTTTAAATTCTACTTAGTTGTATAATTTAGTCATATTTCAATTCTTTTTTGAACATATAAAACAAATAATAAAAAAAAAAAGGATTTTTTTTTTAAAAAAATAAATTAAAAAATAATACAATATATATATAAAATGAACATAAGTTGAAATCTTTATTAAAACTCAATGTTTTATTAATTCTTTAACAAATTAAACGTAATTATCAACGGAATGCTAATAACTTTATTATTTTATTTCTATTATTGATTTTTCAACTTCACTAATTTTCTCACCTTTTTCACCTTTCTCACAAGCACTCAAAATATATTTTATCATATATTTATTATCATCACATCTAAAAAAATAAATTATTATTATTATGAATTTATTCTTTCTCTTTTAAAATGCAATAATAATAATAATAATGGATAATTTAAATAATAAATAATTTAAATAATTCATAATTAAATAATTAATGAACTTACAATTTAGAAATATCTTCTCGTATTTTACCAATAGCTTTTTGTAATAATCTAAATGTACTAGAAAACTCATTTGAATGCAGTTTTAAATATTTTCCTCGAGTTGATAACATCTTTGAAATCCATAACAAATGAAATTCTATATGTGGAGATTCTTCCATATGTTCGGCAATGAATTTAAGTAATCGATCAATATATTTTTCTGGTAAATCTTTAATAATTAATTCTATTTCATCAGGTGGAATGGTTTCATAAACTTGATGAATTAAGTAATGTTCATTAAGTCGAAATGACATTATTAATGCTTTTAAAAATTCACAAGAACGTAAAGTTGATAATATTGTAGTTGGAGTAATTTCTATTTCTAAATCAAATGGATCAAAAATTAACATTTCATCTAAAGAATAAATTAATAATCCTTCGGTTGATGCCGCAGCCCAAGATCGACCGGTTGGTGAAAATTTAATACATTTTGTACGGATTTCAGGTCTAACTCTTCGTACTGAAAGATCACCTTTTTGTGTTCCAGGTAAACTTGTATCAAGTCTATCTTCTAAATCACTTAAATCTCCTGCATTATCAATTAAATTTAGAGGCCCCGCTTCAGTCATATATTTACTATTCAAAAATTCTCTTATTCCATCAAGAGATAAATTATGTGAAATTTGATATTTTTTAATAAGTAATTTTTCTTTCACATCATAAAGACATATATATTTACTATTTCCACCAGCAATAATACATGAACCATCAGCAGAATAACATAAACTATTAAAAGATTTTCCTGAAGATGAATTTGCTGCAGTTCTTCTATCATCTATTTTTCTACCTCCGGAAATATCTTTTCGACCTTCTATGAATGCAGTTTGAGTACAATTTTCAATATCCCAAAATGATATTTGACCATCTAAAGTAGATGCAGCTAATTGTTTTCCATCAGGTTGATAAGTTACTGATAAAACATCCGAAGTAAGACGTAACACGTCAACATATTTTCCACGTCCAAAAATATCCCAAGTACGAACGGTACCATCCCATGAACTTGAAGCAAGTTGATCATTTGATGGACTAAACGCTATTCCACTTATTGGACCTTCATGTCCTGCCATAATATCTAATAATTTACCGGTTTGTACAGACCATACAAATATTTCAAAAGTATCTAATGAACCAGCAGAAACTATTTCACCACTTTGATCTACCGCCAATGAAGAAAATTGAATAGGAGTAGGAGAAGTAAAGGTTCTAAAATTTCTATAACGAATTAAATCAAATGCACGAACAGTACCATCTAAAGAAGCAGAAAAAAGTACTTGACCATTTTTTGCAAATTCTAACATAGTTACACCAGAAGTATGTTCAGAAAAAGTGACAAAACAAAATCCAGATAAAATATTCCAAACTTTTACTTTTCCATCATCACCACCTGTTGCAATATATTGACCATCAGATGAATAAGAAAGTGTATTCATATCATAATAATGACCTTGTTGTTTAAGAACATATGATTCTGATTGCCATTCCCAAACCAAAAGTTGACCTAACTTTGAAGAACCAAATGCTAACCATTCACCAGTGGAATTTATTGATACAGTATCAATTTTCTTTTGGGAAATACTAAATATAAAATATATATATATATATATATGTATGTATATGTATATAATGAGAAGATTAAATAATTAATTGATTAAATAATTAATTGATTGAATAATTACCTTAAAGTATGAATATTATTAAATTCAGGCATTTCCCAAATTCCAAAAATGCCAGATGAAAATCCAACTACTAATAAATTTGATTTTATGTGATAATCTGAACAATTTACTTTAGCACCAGATTGATTAAAGTAATGCTTAGTTATGATTCTCCACCTTTTTTTATTATTTTTATTATAATTATTATTTTTATTATTTTTATTATAATTATTATTATTTTTATAATTATTATTATTTTTATAATTATCATCATAATCATTATTATCATTATTATCATTATTATCATTATTATCATTACTAATATCATCATTATCATTATTATAATTATTATTAGTCTTTAAAGATTCATCATCAATTTCCATTAAATCTTCTTTTTCTTCCTCCTCTTCACTTGAATCCGAAGATTCGTCTTTTAGAGAACAAAATTTCCAAATAAAAAGAGCTCCATCTCTACTAATTGTATATATCTATCAAAAAATAGTATAAATAGATAAATATTATTATATTATTAATATTACTAAAGTGCCATTTGATAAAATTATTGACATACAGTTTCTTGGTCTTCGGAAAAATAGGCACCAATGACATAATCCCTGTGACCAGATAAAGTGACAGTGTTGAATTTTTTATTTAAAATTACGGGATAGATTTTTACAGTCATGTCTTTTGAAGCAGATAAGAATAATCTTGAAAGACAACGTAAATAAGTTTAAATATGCATTTTTAGATAGATAGATAGATATATATATATATATATATTTTCAAATAGATTTCAAATTTTAACGAATTAAAGTTTACATACCGAGAATCATTGGACCAAGTTATTTTAGTTATATCATCAAAATGTCCAATATATTTATGATGTAAAACGAAGGGAGAAAATTCTCGATTAAATCCTGGCGATTTCCAAACTTGGATTGTTTTTCCGACCGTAACTGCAAAATATCTGAAAATAAAAACAGGTCAACATTTTTTATTTAATTTAAAAAAAAAATAGACAAAAATATCACTTACTTTCCATCGGGACTAAATTGTACATCAGCAACTTTTGATTTAAAATTAAATTCATGTAAAACGATACGTCGTTGAAAATTCACTAAAAGAACTCGTCCATCTAACAATAACACAGTATATATTATGTAAGAAATTAAAAAAAAAAAAAGAATTGGAATTGTAAATGAAAATAATAAAAATAAAAATAAAAATAAAAAAATAAAAATAAAAATAAAAATAAAAATAAAAATAAAAAAATAAAATAGGAATTCAAGAGATCATAAAAAAATAAATCAAAAGTTCAAACCTTCATCAATGGAAAGTAATAAACTTGCATTTGGTGAAAGTGCAATTCGATTTATATTTTTTTTATTTTCAAAAGGAAATGTAAAAGATTTGTTACTGTATATAAATTTAATGGAATAAATTTGAATTAATTAAATTATATAATAAATAAATAATTATAATTTATAATAAAAATCGAATCAAATCGAATTAAATAAAATTTAACAAGGATTACCTACTTCACCAAATCGAATTGAGAAATTCTATTTCCCACTGGACTCAAGAGAGAGTTTCCATCCGGAGTAAAACATAAATTTCCTTTTGTATAGACTGTTCCACACAAGTTAGAAAACTACTCAAAAAATATATAAAATTATACAAGGTATGTATATTATTTAATCAGAAAGTGTATTCAAATAAAATTTTTTGAGAATTTTTTTAAAAAAAAAAAAGTTGGAAACTTGTAGACTTACCTTGAAATCAGTTTTCATCTTTAACAATAAAATAAATAATAGTAATAAAAATGATAAAAAAAAAAAAAAAAAAAATCAATTTAAAGATCTAAATCATGTGATTAAACTTGAATTCAAACCAATCATTACTTTACAACAAAATGTTATAAAAGACGAATTTCTTTTACAAAAATAAATAATTATTTCTTTTGCTTAATATAATGTTGAGTTGGCTTGAGGGCAAAATCGTAAGTATCATAAATAAAATAATATCTAAAGAATCAAAAAATCAGAAGATTCATATTTTATATATATTTAAAAAATTTTTAAAAATGGTGATACTTTTTCTGATACTTCTTTTCTGTTTTTGTATAGGATTTCGAAGGTCAAAAGTTGACCGAAATTTTATTACAAATTACATTGGTTTTTTTTTCTGTAAGTATAAATAATAATATAAATAATAATATATATATATATACACGAAATTAAATTTCTATATTATAATTAATTAATTATTAATTATTATTATTTTAAACGATTAATATTGAATTAGATATTGGGATTTTTAATTGGATTTCAACAACAAAGTCTTTTTATAACTTGGCAAATTTTCTCGATTGGTTTTATAGTTACTGCAATAGTAAGAATTTTTATTTAATTTTATTTAATTTTATTTTATTATCTCACATTCATTTTATTAAATTTTATTTTAAATTTTTTTAATAATTAAATTTATAATTAAATTTATAATTTATGATTAGCTTATCTTACCTGCTTGGCCATTTTACAATAAGCATCCAGTTCAGTGGCTTCCTGAAATTACTAAAAAAAAAAAGAATGATTAAAAAATCAACTAATGAAAATATCAAGGATGATTAAACTCAAAAAAAAAACTATAAAAGATAAATTCAAAAGAAGAATAATTTAATAATAGAATACTTTAATTGAATGATTGAATAACTGTAATTTGAATAATTAAATAATCAAATTATTAATAATTGAATAATTATTTGGTAAATATTTTGATAAAGAGATTACAATATTATTTTATTATTTTCTTTTATAACATTTTAAATATTAAAAAAAAAATCATTATTTATAATTATACTGGATATTTTAATATTATTATTTGTGGGTTATGTATTATTAATTATTAACCTTTTTTTTTTGTTTAACATTACATTTACAAATTAGATTCATTCTCAATAAGATAATAATAATGTTAATAATGTTAATTATGTTAATGATGTGATATTACTTGATTATTATTGCACAGATTAAAAGTTACCCTTTTATAATTTATAATTTATTGTAATTTTTTATATTCAAAATAATTCAGCATGTTAAAAAAAATAAAATAATTTGATACAAGTAAAAAATATAGTTAATTTTAAGCTGTTATCTATATCATAGTTTTGATTATTAACATTATTAACATTTAAAGAATTTCTCAAGAATAGTATTTCAATTGTCATTTTGATAAATTTGGTAATTTATTTTTTTTTAAAAAATATAAAAATGGATCAAATGTAATGAAATAAATATAGTAATAAATATTTTAATTTTTTTATCAATGAACGCAATAAAAAGAAATGATTATTTTTAGGAAGGTGACTAAAAATTGATGCAAATTTTCATGACAAGGTGATAATATCAAATAAATAAGATACTGATTATGCATCGATCAAAAAGATTTTTTTTTTTTTAACTTGTTTAAATTTCACATGTAAAAAAAAGATAATTTGTTATTGTATGCTTGTTTTATTGCTGTTTTGTATATATTATTTTCAAAACTAAACTCAGCCTTTTACGAATAGAGTAACTATTTTGAAACAATATGAGTGGGTGACAACACGTTTTTTTTATTCTTTACTCATGTGGCAGTGAAATTGAGTAAATGAATGAACGCTAAAATTGATAAAATTAGATTCAAAATGGCACGTTTCCATTTAAAAATATTTATGATACAGATATAGAGAATATAAATATAGAACATATTGAATATAAATGTAGAATAAAATACATTATATAATCCATAGAAAGATAACACATATAAAACACATATATAGCACATATATAGCACATAAACATATATACAGTTGAATAACACAAAATATATATATATATATATATAGCATATAATACATACAATAGAAAATTTATTTTGACATTCAATGAAAGAAACAAATGTGGAAGACAATATTAACCATTCATTATTATCATTATTGCAATTGTTTCGTTATCAAGATCCGAGAATTTCTATGAATATTCTATGAATGTATTAAATTAGTATATAGTGAAAGTAATTTCTAACCTGTTGTGTATTAATTATGTATTAATTGAGTATTAATTCGTGTATTAAAAATTTAAACTGGTAATTAGAAACATTAATTCCTAAAATATCAAAGTCGATCTGCATGTCTGTATTTTACACATATTACTTTTATATCCATTTTTTGCAACCATCTTTTACATATTTATACATATTTAAAAAAAAGAAAGATATTTTCAAAGGCGAAAAACAAAAAATGTGTATTATTAAAGCAATTTATAATAGAATTAATAACATAATCTAATTGATAATATGATTTAACCTGATTTGAAATTATTTTTTTTTCAAAAACAGATTTCACAATAGACATGCATTTCATGTATCTTTTGAATATTGCATAAAATAGTTACCTTCAAATTCTTTAATTCTCATAAAAAAAGAGTTTCCTATCTAATAATAAATAAATAAAATAATCAAATGTAATTGAATGCAATTGAGAAATATTTTTAAAATACTTTTTGATAAAATTTATTTTAATTACATTAAAAGTTATATATATATTTTTTTTTTTAAAAAAAAAAAAAAAAATAAATGGGTACTTTAAAATATTTATTCAAATAGAATAATTCTCTAAAAGTAATCATATAATGGATATCTGAATTTGATATATATAGAAATATCCGATCAAATGCATATTTCTACATATTTTTCGACATACGTTTCCAAGGGTTAATTAGATCTATTAAATCTTGCACGTGATCGCACATCGTTTTATTTGTATCACGAGTCATGATTCATGACACAGTAAAATATATACGTACATATAATAGATGTATATTGTATGTATATATATCTATATATATCGATTTATTTATTTATAGTTTCTATTTTCTTTTAATACTTGATTTAGATTTCAATCATTCTTTCCTGCAAAGAACACAATGACAATAACAATGATGATGACAACGATGACAACGATGACAACAACGATGCGGGCAATGATGGACGTGAATGGTTTAATTATTTCATTATCTATATCTATTGTTATTATTATTTCAAGTTTTTTCTTTCTTTGAAATAAATTTATAAACTATTGGTGTTGGTTACACTTTAATTTAACATAATCGTACATTAAATTAATTTTAAAATTAAAATTAAAATAAAATAAATAATAAATAATATTGCAGATATTTTTAGTAAATACAATGACAGATTTACCAAAATCTTAAACTTATATAAATCTAAATATTACCAAATGATATCAATAATACGTATCATAGTCACTAAACAAGTCAAACGTCGTTTAACAAAACGTAAACACAGTCCAACAAGCATAAACACAATCTAACGCCGCTCGCCTCTTTTTTAATAATAAATTTCCCGTACCACACGTGATAACCAATTCCAAAATATAGTATAGTATCGTAGTTCTTTTCTAAAATTTGAGAAACTACCTTAACTACCTTAATAATAATATTTTCTTTTTCACAATTCATTTCTTTTTTTGTAGTTTATTCTTAATATTCATTTTCTTTTCTCACTTTAAGAACTTTTTTTTTCCATTAAACAAATTAGTAGTCAAAGGAAAAAAAAAAAAAGTCTTACAAAATTAACGATATTTTTCACATGTTGCTTATTCCCCTCCCCCCCGCTTCATTATTATTATAATAATTATTACTATTATTTTATAATTTTATTGTTATCAGTTATTATTTAAATAATTAAAAATAATATAAATTCAAATATTCCCTTTTTTGAAAGAACTTGATTTTTTTTTTTTTTTTTTTTTTAAAGTAAAAAGTTTCAAACCTGCCTTTCAAAAAAAATTTTAATTTTTGGGGGCGGGACCCCATATCCGCTCCTCTTCCCACGTATTATCCACCACCACCACCAACAACAACAACAAAATCATTATCATCAAACCATGAGAAGAAACGTGACTATGAACAAGATAGTTGGCAATATCAAGTAGCAGAAAATTTACTGAGTATTAGTAGAAGTAATAGTTTTTCTGTAAAGTTTTCTACTCTAACTATTAATAATGATGATGACCAAAATGAAAATTTGAATAGAAATGTTGTTTTTAATAATAAAGAGAATAATAAAGATAATAATAAAGACCCAAAAAAAGATGATGATAATCAACTATCATTACCTCCACCATCACCATCGCCACCACCAATGCCTTCAATACTTAAATCTCCTTTATTAAAAATAGAAGATTTTAGAACTCAAAGTCGAGCTACTCAAAATACAACACGTACAGTACGTACAACATCTACCACCACTACACAAAATACTACAATGACACCTATAACACCAATTGATTTAGAAGATCCTCATCAAGATTATATAATTCCCATAAATACTTACACCATTATCACTGAAAGTACCACCTCATTGAATAACAGAAAGATTGCAGATTTGATTTCAGATTCTGATGATAAAAGACAATCTCGTGGTTCATCAGGATCAGGTTCAGGTTCAGGTTCATTACCATCTTGGGCTTATGCTTATTATAGAGCAGGATCAGAAACCAACCTTACTAATAATAACAATAACAACAACAATAACAATAATTATAATTATAATAACAATAATAATAATAATAATAATAATAGATATTCAGATGATGATCCAGATATAATATTACCTGAAGCATCAACTTCTGCAGCTGCAGGTGGTTCAGGTAATAATAATAATAATAACAGTAATAATAATAGTAATAGATCATCATCTACTGGTCAACTAGACAAGAACAAGAGAAGGAAGAATGATGATGATAATAATAATAATAATAATAATAAAAATAAAAAAGGTAAAGGTAGAATGTCTATTCAATCTAGATTGGATAATTCAAATTGGCGAATAACAAGAGAGAATCGTCGATTAAACATGCCACCAATAATTAATAATAATAAATATAAAAATTGGAGAAGGAGTATTTCATCTGAATTATCATTTGTAATATGTCCTTACGGTTCAACATTATTTATATTAGGATTTTTATTTCCACCATTTTGGTGGTTCGGATCATTTTATCCTAGAGATCCTAAATATGAAACAGATTTCAAATGGAAAAGATATAATCGATTGATGTCGATATTTTCTTTATTCTTCATCACATTAATAATTGGAATAATTATTTGGTATTTAAAATCTGATATGAAAGCTGTTTACCAATAAACAAGTCAAGTCAAGAAGAAGTAGACAGATGAATAGATAATTTGGAATAGATAATTGGGAACAGAAAAAAAAAATATTTATTCATGTATATTATTATTTATATATTATTTATAATCATTTATATTATTTATATTGTTATTATTATTTTATATTGTACTTTTATTTAATAGTTAACCAATACCAAGGCCAGGTATAGATTCAATAATAATAATAATATGTATGCAAAGATTACGTAAGGCTCTTATTATAGTTTAGCTTGGTTTGAAAGAAAAAAAAATTTTGTAATTAATCAATTTTATCCTTTGTATTATATTATCATGAGTTTTATTGTAAAAAATAGAAAAATATTTATTTATTTATTTATTTATTTATTGTTTAATAAAAACTGATAAACAAAATCCAATAATTTTAAAATAATTCAAGTAAATAATTTATAGCGTAACATACATACTCAGAATTTTAATCTAATAAATACTGAAAAAGGATTAAACTTGAAATATATAAATAAATCCATCAGATATTATCAGATATTATCAGATATTGATATATGCAAAGAGATATATATAAAGATATATGTAGATATAAATATAATGATATTCAAAGAGAGAGAGAGATATATATATATATGTGAAAAGATATAAATAGACACGAAAAGAAAAGATATGAAAAAGATATACAAAGGCTTATAAGAAAATTTATGTATAATTCTACACTGTAATCAACATCACATTAATTACATTTTAAATTCTTCGTTCATATTAATCACATGAGACCTAAAATAGAATAGAATCAGAAAAATCATTATTATTAGAATAGATTAAAATAACGCGTATAAAATTAAAATAATAATAATAATATAATAATATATTTACGAGCTTAGTTGAGGTCGCTGCGAATATTTTTCACGTAATATAGCACGAAGACGATTCAATAATTCTTTGTAAGTCTGATTTTTACCCCCTTCTTGCAATCTATATATAATAATAATAATATTATTATTATTATCATTATTAGCGTGTGATGTATGCAAAACGTTTAAAAATAATAATGTAAAGTTAACTTACGCTTTAATAAAAGCATGTGACATAGCACCAGTGGAAACTCCATTGGTAGTCACGTCAGATGAAGTTTGATCATCTTTACACCTTTTTTAGATGGATAATTCGCATTAAATTAAATTATAAACAATAATATAATAATATATTTAATATAATTAATGAATAATTTTTTTTAGAATAACAATAATAATAAAAATTCATTCTTCTTTCTTACCCGCTGAACATAATAATTTCAGCTGGACTAGATTTTGTCTCCAAATTCTTTCTTCTAATTCTTTCACCTAAATAATAAATTAAATATATAAATATAATAATAATGATGATGATTATGATGATGAGATATCTGTCTCACCAGCTGCAGTATTTTTCTTCTTTCCACCTTCAACAATTTTTGGTTTTTTTACGTGTCCTTGAGTAGAATAAATATAAGGTAGATCAAGTACAGTTCCCGAATGACAAGAATCAAAAATTGCTGTAAGTGCCACTCCGGCAGGAAGAGGATCTACCATCATGTGATGCATTTCCTTAATTAATTAATAAAATTAATAATTAATATTAATAATTAATTAATAATATAAAAGTAATAATATAATCTATTTTACTACATCATCAACAATTTGTCCATTAGTTTGAAAATCTAATGGCATAATGGTTTCATCGTATCCATCATCTTCATCATTATCTGGATCCATTTGTTGTCCACCATGTCCACTGTAATGGAAAAATAATCTAAAGAAAAAAATATTAAAAATATATATATATATATATATATATTATTATTATTATTTTTAATTAATATTTTATTTTATTTTATTTTATTTTATTTTATTTTATTTTATTTATTAACTACTTACGAATCACCTTTTTCAACATTTTTCACAAAATTTTTCATCTCTCTAATGATATTTGCTCTAGTAGGAATTTTATCAGGATCAGTTAAATTATCGGTTAATATTGTCATATTCGATTCAGGAAATCCCCAATTTTCAATTAAATATTTTTTGATATTTTGAACATCGTTAACACAACCTAATAATTTATATTTTAATAATAACAAATAATAACATTTATAGTGATAACATTATAATTAGCAATTATTATTATAATATTATTATTATAATATTATTATTATAATATTATTAATAGAATTATATTATTAATAGATATTATTAATAGAATTATATTATTAATAGATATTATTATAATTATTAAATTAGAGATATATAATAATTATATTGTTTTTTAATTTACCGTTTAATCGATATGGATCTTTATAATTAATTCCTATCATGAGAGCTTTCTTATGATTATTATAAGGGCAAGGTTCATATTTAACTTCTTGAGTAGGTTTCGCGTATAAAGTATACTCTTCAGGTAATTCCTCTGGTTGTTCAGGTAATTCTTCATATGTAACGTGATGCGTAGAATCAATATTATCATTGAAATGATTATCAAAATTTGTATTCCAAAATTGTTTTCTAAAATCATCATTATCAAAAAATGTTGTTTCTACTTCTTTTTTAAATTTTTCCAAATCAGAGAATGGATCATTTGAATTAGAAGTGTAAGTGGTAGTGGTGGTATAAACTTTATTATTATTATTATTATCATTATTATTATTACTATTATAAGTAGTGGTGGTAATGGTATTTTTAGATGGGTTAAATTTATTAAAAATATCATCATCAATTGAACCAGTAAAAGTTTTTACTTCGGGAGGATTTCCATTACTACTAGTGGAAATTTTATAAGTTGTGGTACCCGATGTTTTCATCTGATTAAATTTTTTTAAAAAATCATCATCTACAAAATCACCACCATCATTAAAAAGTGATCTTTTGTTATCAGTATCTCCGGAATAACTAACAGTTTTAGTAGTGGTAGTAGTGGTAGTAGTAACATTTTTACCATCCTTATTTATTTTCTTTTCAGTTTTAGTTTCAGAATGTGAAGCCATTATTATTTTTAGTGTGTTATTAATTATAATAATAATAATAAAACAATAATAATGATTATGAATATGAATAATGATTATGAATATGAATAATGATTATGAATAAATAATGATTATGATTAAATTATAGTTCAAAAAAAAAAACCTTAATTTATTTTTTTAAACTTTTTTTTTAAAAAAAAAATAAAATGAATTCACGAAAATTATTGTGAATTTTTAAATTCTTTTAAATTCACGGATAAGATATATGATCTACTATTTACCTGACCCGTTTTTGTATTTTATATTACGGGAACTTATTAATTAGTTCGTAATATTCGTAATATTCGCAATTAGTTTTATTTGATGGCGCAAAAAAAAAAAAAAAAAAAAAAAATAATAAAAACCAGTTTAACAAAAAACAAAATACTAAATTAAGAAATTTTAAACCATTTTTGAACTAAATAATGAAAAAAGGATAAAGTAGATAAAGTAGGAGGACAACATCAATCTTAAGCTAAAAAAGTTAAATTTCAGAGGGTTAATGTGTCAGCGGTTCTCCACACAACATTCAAACATAACACTAACATAACACCAACACCAACATCAACCTATAAACACTAAACATAAATATAACACTAAAAAATAATATTAACAAAAACAACACAAAAGTATGCCAACATGCCAAAATTTCAAGCAATATTGATGTTGTTGAGACATGAATGAAACTTTTTTTATGAAAAATTAAAAATGATTGTCTAAACATGTTCATATTATCGTAACAATGTTGTTTGTTACTCGAGAAAATATTTTGGGCGACAACACAACACAACGAGATTAAAAATTATCACTGAGAATAAAGACCAAAAAAAAAAAAAAAAGATTTTGACCAAGAAAGAGGAAGAACGAATAAAAAACTTACACCAATAAAAAAATTTTTTTTTAAATCTAAAATTGGATTTGTTGTCATTGTTGTTTGATTGCGTGTAATAAAAAAGAAAAAAAAAATCTAAAAAATCTTAAAATCAGTAAAAATCCGGATTTAGAAATTTCTAACAGATAATGCCAAGAAAACATTATATTGTAATCAAATAAAGAAAAAAAAAATTAAGGGTTAAATGAATCTTGTGTTTAATGGATAATGAATATAATGGACTATTATTGCATGGTGTACTAACTAACTAACTAATTAGGTGTTTCAAAATTAATAAATTGGAATTGGGAATGTAATAAGGAAAAAATACGGATATTTGGAAAATATATGTAACAAGGATTAATAATAATATGAATAACAAAGGAATAATAATATAAGCATAATAAATATAATAAGGGTAATAAGTTTAATAGAGTGTAATAAGGATAATAAGGAAAATAAGGATAATATGAATAATTCATTGTAGGAATAATAACAAAGTTTATAGTGACAGTCGGTCAGTCAGTTGATTAAAATTTTTTATTTTTTCTATTTTTCGAATATGCGTAAATTAAATCATGTGAAAAAGAAAGAAAAACTTTATATTATTTTTTATTACTATTTTTATTATTATTATTATTATCTTTATTATTATTATTATTCGCACGGACACCAAAAGTTACACTAATAATAATAAAGATAAAATTTGGAAAAATTTATTTCTCTAAGTGAATATCGAACGAATATCACTTTTCAATTCACGATGCAATGTTACGAATGTTATCATCTCAAAACTTTAAAAAACTTTAAGCTCGTGATAAAGTTGACATCTTTCAATTGATACATGATAACAATAATAACAATAACATTTCACAATATCAATACACACGCACACAAAAATGAAACTACAAATGGAGTTTTCAATACTGAATTAATGATGATAAACTTTTATGTGAACAAAAAACGAATTATAAAATCCAAAATTCATCAACCTATAATAGTTCTCGTGGTAAACGTTCATTTGTTATTATTATTATTATTATTATTATTATTATTATAGTCACTACTACATTTGATTTTGTTTTTATTACACACAAATTATTAATTTATTCTATTATTTATTCTATTATTTATTCTATCATTCTATTATATTTTATTACATTACATATTATTATTATTTTAATAATTTTTGTTGTTGGTTTTTTACCGGTTTTAAAAAGAAAAAACATTAACATTGTACCATTTTGTCAACAAAAACATTTGACATTGCACCATTTTTTCAACAATCAATCAATCAATCCATTATAACCAAGCCAAGTAATAAAATGATTAAAATGATTTTACAAAAAAATTTCTTTGATTTCCTTCAATAAATAAAAAAAAATAAAAAAATAAAAAAATAATAATAAAAATAATAATAAATTTAATTATAATAACTCTCTTTATTATGGGAAGATAATTTTGATCTCGGAATTTCAATACAATTATTTTTTAAAGATTTAATAAAAGATATATAACTAATGTAACTAATAATATCATTGGATTAGATTATTTGGGTAAAAATCTAAAAGTAGAAATATTTATCATATGAATCATTTTAATGTTATATATTTTTTTATAGAAACAATTTCATATTTTTTTTTTTTCCCGCGATACAACAATAACAACAATAACAAAAACAACAACACAAAAACACCAACATTTTAACATTCAATCACACATTTTTATACAACAACATTTCATACAACATTTCATACAACAATACAAGAATTTACTTTTTAAGACAAGAGAGGTTTTCGGATAAAGAAGAAAGAGAAATTTGAATGGACCAATTAAATAAAAAAGATATAAAAGCTTCTTTTTATGTTGAACAAACAAACAAACAAGAAATGAAACTTGTCTTTTTATCATTTTATAAATTTCTTTTTAACCCCTGCGTCCGATTGTGAAATCAATGCACATACTTTTTTTTTTACCAATATACACTAAATATACATTTTTTTTTTTTTTTTTAAAAAAAAAAAATGTATTCATCATACGTTTACTTTCTTACTTACCACTTTAGTACTGTCTCTGCTTATAAATGAATTTATCATTATTAGAACTTTCTGAATACTTGTTTATTCATTGTATATATATAAAAACAATACGTTTTATGTGTTACGAAAATTGTAAAACGCCCAACCAGGCTTTTCTCTAATATTTATAGAGTATCCCGTTTTCGGAAGATGATTATTGATGAAATGAAGAACATGCGGAAATGAAATTTTTTTTATTAAAAAATTATTATATTAAAAATTCGTTATTTAAGCATATTTTTAAACATATTATTATTAAATATTATTATTAATAATCCTAAATCTTTTTTTTTTTTTAAAAAAACCAAATAGATCTATCCAAGAATATCATTTTTTTTATTTATTTTAAATCTTTTTTTTTGGGGGGGGGGACAATCATTGATCAAATTCTATTTAAAGATATAAAAATCCCGTGAAAATTTTTGCGATTGACTCCAAATTTATTCACCAATCTTATCCATAAAGGAATTTTACTTAGTTCAGCCACATATACCTCATTGTGGACAAGAATGGAATTACAATTCATTGATTGGCTTCCAATTTTTATCCTTTTCCATACCAAATTTAGTATAAAATTTTAAAATAATGTTAATAAGAAATCAAAAAAATAAAAATAAATAAATATTGTTCCACTAATTTCTTCTCTTAACCGATCGATTTTCTGGTTCCAAATCCTGATTATTAGATGTTTGTTGGTGTATATTCTTTCCTGATAAAGAATACAGTTGGCGGAATTTCCAAAATTGGTACACAAGCTAATCTATTTTCTTTTTACCGAATGAAGGACTCTCTTTTTCCTTTCTTTAACATTTTGACCTTGACTAATGGGGTTTTGTTGTTGTCATTGAAGCCATGCCAAGCACAAGATTACTCACTTCATTTATTCAATCTACAGAATGATTTGCATAAAAAGATTCATTAAAGATTTGTTTTTGATACATATATATATATATATATCTATCTATCTACTTTTATCTTATTTTATCTTATCACAGGATAATTTAAAACGCATAAATTTAATGCATGTAAATACGTAAAAATTTTATTTGATCATTATTTATTATTATTTATTATTATTACCTTTTGATTATTCTTATCCAATCAATTTTTTATTGATTATCACCACTTTTTTCACATTAAATATTATCATATCACTAAACCTTATAACTTTTTATTTCTCGTTTTATATATATAAATGTTATTCATTCATTTATACTCGTTTTATATTCCATTTTATATTCATTTTATATTTCATTTTTTATTCCATTTTATGTTTATTTTATATTCGTTCTATATTTGTAATGAATCATCATTTAAGATTGTGAGAGAAATAAGAAATAAAATTATTCATCATCATTATTCATTATTATTATAGAGAAATAAGTAAAATTTTCAAATAAGGTAAACACTGAATAAAAAAGGTAACCCATAAATACCATAAATTACTATTCATATATCATATTTTTAATATTCTTAATATGTTTTTTTAAAATTGATTGTGTCGTTATTTTGGTTTCATTTTGTTATCAGTTATTATTGTTTGGTGCTAGATAATTATTATAAAAATTGATGTTGTTGTTTCAATATTTTTCTTGTGGACAATATTATTATAATGTTATTTATATTTTTATTTGATAATGTTATTTTTTTTTTATTTGATAATATTATTTTTTTATTTGATAAGATTATTTTTTTTATTTGATAATATTATTTTTTTCTTTATTTTCATAATAATAATAATAATAATAAAAAAAGGTTTAAAAAAAGTAATTAATTGCATAAAAATTTTTTTTTGTTTAATCACAGACTAACAAAAATAATTAAATCTAATGGCCGAATTTCCGATGATGATTTTTTTTTTTTTCTTAAATCTTAGAGTTACCATTTTAGTGAATGAATGGTTGCTATATGTGATTTCCATTTATGTTGTGAAATCTTTTTTTTAGATACACTGTTCAAACAAGAAGAAAATAGTGTGATTTTGACCTTTTTTAAGGTTTTGCTTTTTGACGAAAAAATATTTTGCAATCCATTGTTTTCCTTTATTTACATATTCGACTTTTTTTATTTTATTTTTATAAATCTTTTTAATTTACTTGGAATTTCTTTTTGTTTTTATAAATATCCATAAGAGTACAACAATTTAATAAGGAAGTCACTGCCTCCCTGGAAATATTATTATTACTGATATTACTGATAAGCCTATTTTATGCTACACGTATGATAATTAAAAAAAAAAATTTTTTTTTTTATTTATATATTCTTGCTATTTATTCTTGTTATTTATCTAGTTATATAATTTACTTTAAATATTAACAAAGACTATAAAATTTCCTCCTTTTGATCATTTTTTTACCATTACCATTTTGAGCTAAGAATGCATTTCGAACAACATATAAAGTCGACTCTATCACTATCACCACCACTACTCTATCCAACATTTTTTGCGGCGCCCATTTTTTCCAACCGCACAAACAAAAAAAAATTTTTTTAAAATAAATAAATAATAAAAATACTTTACAACTACTACCATTATAATAAATCTCATTATAAATACAAAATTATAATTATAATAGTAATCAATAATAAAAAGGATATAAAAAGATTTATTTACAAATTTATCTCTGTTTTACTTTTTTAAAAAATTTTTCTTCTCATCCTTCTTCCTATCCTCTTATTTTCATTTTTTTTTCTTTTACGAAAAAAAAAAAAAAAAAAAAAAAAAAAAACGAACGACTTCAAAAAAAAAATATATATATCAATAATGTCTTTTTATTGTTTTGAAACAAGACAAGACCGTACATTGGTACCTTATCCGCCACCAGAATTTAGCCAACAAATTGACCGAATGTCACCAGCAGAAATTGTTGACCATATTATTCAAACCAATATTGACCCAATAACTTTGACCAAGATTGAAAAACAAATTGCAGTACCCCTTCGTCAACTTATTTCTCCTCGAGAAAATCGTCGTCGTCGGTGTATTCCTCGACCTCAAAATAATTTTGTTTTATATAGAAGAAATTTTCATGCGGTTATTACGAAAGAAAGAGGTCATTCCGTGGCAAAAAATTTTAAACTTATTTCAAATGAGGCAGCCAAAAATTGGTCAGAAGAGAGTAATGAAGTTAAACAACTTTATGAATTAATAGCTGATTGTGCAAAGAAAGTTCATGATTGTACATACCCACAATATGTTTATCAACCAAAACATAAATCTTCGAAAAAAGGAAATAATACAATATTTCGAGAAGTTACTATGGATACTTGTAAGCAAAGAACCGAAAGAACTAAATCTGATCGTAATTCTTCAAAAAATGATAAATCTACAACTTCTTCCACTTCAACATCATATTCAAAATCATCTACTACACCTAATATTAAATCTTTGACGGCATCAATGACTTCTACTATGACAACTTTATCATTAGATTCAACACTATCTCCATCAAGACCACCAGTAACATCATCATCATCATCATCATCATCATCCTTAAAATCACCTCAATCTTCTTCCTCTCCTCCTCTTCCAGCACCTCCAACTTCTTCTTCTACTTCTACTATTACCACCGAACATCCACTTATTAAAGAAGAACCAATGTTACAACCGCCATTACCACTTCAACAACTACAACCATTACAACGACGAATGATGTTAAATCAACAACAGCAACAACAACAACAATCACAACAATTATCACAACAACCATTATCAATTAAAGAATGGCGCTGGTCGCATTATAGCCAGTCAGATTCGTCGAGACCTCCTTTAGTAGATTCTTATCAACAATCTTCATCTTCATCATCTTCACCATCTTCATCTCCTTCTTCTCAATCATCAAATCCAATGCAAGGAATTGTTGAACTTTCTTCTTCTATAGGTCAACCAATGTCAACATCAAGATTACTTCCACCAATTGATATGCCCATTTCTCAGAATTTAATGGCGGGTTATGATAAAAATGTTTGGAATTTGGTTAATGGTTTCACTTATTTGTAAATAATAATATAGCATGTATATTTTTCATTTTTATATAATAGATTAAGAATCATGGGGTTTACCTCTATTATATATATTTGATTTTTTATATATATATATTTCTCTTCCCCCGATTTTCCATTTTTCCATTTCTTTCTTCTACTTCTACTTCTACTACTACTACTACTACTACTACTACTTATTATTATTATTATTTTTATTATTTTTATTATTCTTTTTTCTTCTTCATTATTCATTTTGTTTGAAAGCAAAAAAAAAAAAAAAATTTTATGATCATGTTGCATTTTTTATTATAGCATTTTTTTTTTGTTCACGATCATATAATTCTATAATTATTTTTATTCTTATTTCAAAAAAGATTCTTGTAAAGATTGCATTAAGTGTTACATTTTTTTTTTGTTGTTAAAAAAGTGTGTATGAATATATCAACAGTATATAATAATATATATATGTGTCAGTATTATTTCGTCAACAATGTATTTCATTTGGGAAAGTTTTTATTTCTCGTCATTATTTTGCATTTAGTAAATTTAGTATTATATATATATGGTTTCTTTTTTCAAAAAAAAAAAATTTTTTTTTTCAGTAATTTTTTGTTTATATTTTATATATAAAATATTTTAATTAGAAAACAAATGTTTTATAAAATGTTATATTGAATGTTTAAAAAAAATCATCTTTGTTATTATCTTTACATGATAAACGAGATATATTTCATTTTATTAAAAAAAAATTCTCAATTATAAAAAATTATAAAGTTTTTTAAAACGTAATCACGAAATTTGTTTCATGTTATTATTACTACTACCTATTCATTGTATAAAACAACACGTTGAATTCTTTTCTCCTTCGTCTTTTTATTTTTTTTTTTAAAACAAATAAATACATTCAAATTCAAATTCAATACCCGCCAAAAAGTTTTTAAATTTGATCGCATTAAATTAAATAAAATATTCTTTAACCATGATATCTTTAAAAAATAATAATAATAAATAATAATAATAATAATAATAATAATAATTAATAATAATAATAAAATGTATCTCAAATTATACACGACATAGCAATTCCCACACGAAGTTAAATTATTAAAATTAATTAATTAATTTTTTCGATTCTTTTGCATTTTTTTTTCTTTTTCTTTTTTGTGATATAATCGGGTGTCGTGTAATATCAAATAGTTTGACAAATTTGCATTCATTACTTATTCCACTTATTCTATTCATTCCACCATTCATTCCACCATTCATTCTACCATTCCATTCATTCTACTTATTCCATTCCACTTATTCCCATTTATTCCATTTATTTCCATTTGTGTTCTTTTAAAAAAACCAAAGGGTAAACTACCTGTAATCAAAAAAATAAATAAATAAATGATTATTATTGTCATTATCGATTATTAATAATTAATAATTGATAATTATTATCGTCAAGTTTTTAAGAATTCTTTTTTGAAATAAACAATGGGTCACGCATACGTTTGTATTTTTTATTGTCAATGATAGGTGGTCTTTTTTTGAATGATTATTATTATTTATGATTATTTATTTATTTATTTATTTATTATTTTATTTATTTCGTATTTTATCTTTGTTGTATATATTATTGTATATATGTTATTGTATATATTATATTATTTTTATTTTTATTTTTATTTTATTTTACTTTATTTATTTATTTTATTATTTTAAAAAATTATTATTCTCAAAAATCTCTTTCATGTACATATATATTTATTTATTTATAATGAATGAATAATTTATAATGAATGAATAATTTATAATGAATGAAATATATATATCAAAAGATTATTTTTATATGCCAAGAATTCGTAATTTCGGAAGAATTTTTTACTAAATTTATCTAAATTTTTATTCAAGATTTATTGTCCAGAACTTTTATTTTCATTTTCATTATGACCTTACGTTATTCATTATGATGTAGTTAATACGAGATTAGGGAAGATTAAAAAATTGATTAGAATATTATGATGTGGTGAACGTGATGTAAAAGTGAGTAAAGAAAGTGAATGGCGTGAATGGAAACAGAGAAAAACAAAAATTATATTTTTTTTGGAACAAAATGTAAATATCAATTCAATTATCTAATATTTTTAATTTTTAAAACTATTTTATCAGTTGTATCTTCTTTTTTATATTAAATCTTTTTATTTTAAACTTATTTAAAATTTTTTATATCCGATCATTCTACGGGTGGGTGGGATAAATAACTTAATTCATTTTCGTTCATTCGTTTTTAACCCATTTTGTCATTTTTTGTCGTTCTTATCTATTTATGGTTTATCAATTAACAATTTGAGTAATTTAAATGAAAAAGTGATGACGAAATGATTGTCATTATCGGCATTTTATTTCTTTATCCCCTGAAAATTTGAAAATTTGAAAATTCGAAAATTGATTAAAAAAAAATAGAAAACCTCTTCGAAAGAACCATATTATTACCTCAAATAAACAAATTAATAAAATTACAACTTCTAATCGATTCAATAATAATAATAATAATAAATCTCAATATATTCCAAATTCAAAACCGATCATTTCCAAGAAATCATTATCCTCATCAAACTCGAACTCAAATTTAAACTCGATCATCTTTTTCCTCTTTAATCAATAATAATAATAATAATAATTCACAAAAAACTTTAAAAACAAATTAATTTATATAAACAAAAATAAAGTTTTACTTGAGAAACTTGATGAAATAGTTAATGATATTTTTTCGTTATCTAAGATAAATGATGATAAAAATAAAAATATAAATCAAAATCTAATCATTAAAGATAAAGATGATAAGGATCATAAAATGCAAGATCAAGATAATAATAAAGTTGAACAAGTTTATCTGACAAGGAAATGATGATGATTTTATAAATGATGTTGTCATTAATCAATTATCAAAATTTGGTATTAAAGAAGATTTTTGATCATAGATAATCATATTTATTATTCTTATTTTTTATATCGATGTTAAATATTTCTGATTTTAAATAAATAAATATGAAGATATATATGTGTTTGTTTTTTAATATAAAAGTTGTCTTTTATATATGTGATTGATATATATATATATATATAATATAAAGGAGTGGATAAATTGAATCGTTCTTTTATATAAGATATAAAAATAATAGTAATAACAATAATAATAAATAATAATAATATTTCAATAAACATGACATGCAAATCTAGATTCTTCTGCATTTAGTTGAATTTAAAATAGAATTCATTTTATATAATTTATATGATTTTCTTTTTCTTTTTTTTTTTTTTTTTACAATAATTTTACATAATTTGCTGGGAACTTTTAATTAAAAAAAAAAAATTTTTTTTTTTTAAAAAATTTATTAAATTTAAAAAATATATCAAAAAGTTTATAAATAGTATACTTACAATTCCTTCCTGCATATTGCATTTACCAGTCCACCTATATTTATTTTAATAATAATAATAATAATAATGTAATTAAAGTAATAATATTTAAAATAATCAATTATTTTCTATTATATCAAAAAAAAAAAAAAACAATTATCATACCAATCATTAGTAGAATCCGTTTTCTTTGTGATTACAATAGTATCTCCTTTATGAAATTCCAAATCTCCTTCTTGTTCTCCAAGAAAATCAAACATTGCAAGTGCTGTAATTGGTTTTTGACGTAAAGGTAAATTTGGTTTTGGAGCTATTGGAGGTTTTGTCGGGGATTTTGATACTGAAGGTTTTACTTTTGATTGTGATGTATTATTTCGATTGTTATTATTTGATAAAGAATTTGATAAAGAAATAGATCTTTGAACTCGATCATCATCATCATGATCATCTCCACTAAATCCTCTTTCTTCAAATTTAGATTTTGCAGATTTTGTATATTTCGGTAAATAACTGTCGGCAGATGGCATTTGAATCACCGGCATTGATTGACGTTGATTATGACTACTAATACTATTATTATTATTTTTATGATTATTATTAGAAGAAGAAGAATATTTTGAATAACGTCCTCCTCCTCCTCCTACTCCATCATTATAATTATCATCATCATTATAATTATCATTCTCTTCATATGATCTAGAATAAACTGAACTTAATCCACCAGTATTAAGAGATGCTTTTGCATTTAAAGCACGATATAAAATATCTGCTTGAGGTGGTGGTGAAACTTTTCCCGAAAGTAACTCTTTGGCACTAACTTTACGATGATAAAATTTTGAATTGGCATCTTTACGTTCAATAATAACTGATCCTTCAATAGAAACACCAGCAAATAATCCTCTCGTTTTACTAAAAATAATAAATAAATAAATAAATAAATAAATAGTGATATGTAATTATATCATTTTCTTTTTATATTTAATGAAATAATAAAAATTTTTATATAATACCTATAAGAAAATATAGCAGCTACATGTTTAAGTGAAACACTACTAGCTCCTTCAGCATTTCTACCAATAGGTCCAGCGGCAACTAAAGCCAAAAAAAAAAGAATTATAATTTGTAAACAATTTCCTCTAGAAACAAAATTATAAATGGTCACAATATTTACCCGATCTATGTAATGAATAAAATAATAAAGTTAATAAAATTAATGAATAAAATTAATAAAAATTAATGAATAAAATTAATAAAAATTAATAAATAAAATAATATAATTAATGAATAAAATAAAATTAATAAAATTAATAAATAAAATAATAAATGATTTATACTTGATATACGATAATAATAATATAATAATAAAGAAAAATAAAATAAAGTAAAACTTACAAATTTCCTCCTAAAGTAAGATTTCCTCCATTCATAAATGATTTAACTGCATCTTTACTATTAAGAACAATGACAAAATCTGTTACTTCGGCACCAATTTGTCCACCGAAACCCTAATAAAGAATTAATCATTATAAAATATCGTCAGTATAAAAAAATAAAAATAAAGTAAAAGAGAGTAAAAATGAATAAATAAAACCCACCATTCCTCCAGTACCGACGGCTGATGGAGCAGACCACGCTAATTAATTCAAATTTTAAATCGTATATTAAAATTAAATATATCAAATTAAATAAATAAAATAAAATATTTAATTATTATTATTTTTTTTTTTTTTTGATACTGATTAAATTATAACTTACATCCATCTGAAAGTCTAAAAATAAGAAAATATCCCAATAAATAATTTAGTATTAATTTAGTACATTAATTTATTAGGTAAAATCCAGTTAGCATAATTTTATTACAAAAGAAAGGAATATTATATTATTATTATTATCTAATATTTACCTTGCTACAACTAAACCTGATCCAACTCTACCTGAAAAAAGAAATCCTGCTTTTATTACTGTAATTATTGCAAACCCATTGGCACTTTGTAAAACTTGTGGTGGGATAACCTTATCTGGTCCCTTTTTTTTAGATGAAAAAAAAAACAAAAACAAGGAATTAAGTTTTTTTAAATAATTTAAATTATTTTTTTTTTTTTTTTAATTTTCTTTACCTTAGCTTCGATTGGATCTAATTACATCATATTAATTTAATTAATTAAAAATTAAATAATATTAATTACAAAAAAAAATATTTATATATTTACCAATAAAGCTATTTAAAATTTTTGCTGCTTTTCTACACTCTCCTGAAAATTTTTAATAAAAATGATTATTAATAAAAAAAAAAAAAAAAATGAAGACGATATTTAAAAGAATAAAATGTTAATACGTAGAAATTAAATTTTACCTGCAAGATCAGTAGGTATAGGTGAGTTAACCATATTTTTAAAAGTATTATTATATTTTTTGTACTAATTTTTTTATTTTATTTTTTGTTATTTGAAAGTATTTATTTGTATATCGTTTATTGTCTGTTCCTATAAAATATGATATATGTGTTATATCTATTACAGTGTGTACAGGCAATAAGACAATAAAGACAAAGATATTCAATATGTGTCAAGAAGAAAAACCTACCAAAAGTTAAAAAAAACAACTTTTTTTAATGGCAGCAAAAAGGAGTTTTTTTTTGTGTATGATGTGATGTTAATGTGTGACGTTGATGCGTGATCTTGATGTCATTTTGTTGAACACTACACTTATTTATGTGTTGAAATATGAGGTCATTATTTGTCACCCTTTCCCTTTTAAACTTTAAACTTAGATCATTACCGACCAATGAAATTATCTAAATTTTCTGTACTTTTTATTTGTTCAAAAGAGAATTACTTTAAAAATATTTAACAAAACATTAAATCATTTAATAAGGAAATAAATTTATCCTTATATTTCTACTACTCCTACAAAAAAACCAAACATTCGTGATAAAAGATACCGTTAGTATTTGGTTTATAGAACAACCTTTTTATGGGTTGAGCGTGATAGGCCACAACGACAGGTTTCCCTGACTCAGGTGTTTGAGTAAGATGTTTCTTGCTCCGTTATGATCCCTATCAATCTTAAAACCATATGAATTGCATTTGTAAATTTTGGATCCACCAAGGTTATGTTTTATGTACCCGCATTGTCCACATGTCTTTGATGTGTAATCTTCTTTGCATATTATTAATATTCTTCCCGAATATTCACACACCTTGTGTTCTAAAAACATTTTAAACCTGTAATGAGCCCAGGTTATCATCTTTCTTGCGGTTTTTGCTGTTGATTTTTCGTTTCATCTTGTTCATCATTTCTTGGATACTTTAATTTTCACAAAGATATTTTGTGACAATCATTTATTAAATTTCTATCTTTTTGTGAATTTTTTTCATTTTCTTTTGATTATGTATCTTTTTCTTTTGTTTATTTTTTCTTTTAATAAAGATTTTTCGCTTTGATATTTGTCATATCTTTTTGATAACCTAAATATCTTTTGGATGTCACATTCAATTATTTCCTTTTGGATCATATCTGGTCATAAAGGTGCGATCACCTGGATCTAATGATATTATATTATTATTTTCTTTTACATGATATTAGTATGCAGATATGAAATTCATTTAATTTGTTTCTGGTTATCTTAAATGAATGTTTATGTTTAATAATTGGAAATTTTTCTGATGTTTTGATACTTCTTAAAAATGAAAAATGGTTGCTTCTTTGTTGTAAAAATCTCTTGCTTGTATAGTTATTGAATCTTTCCCATTTTTTCTTGTTCTTGATTTGATTTGATTTCAAATCTTTTTGCTTGCTTTAAATTTGTATTATATACTATGAGTAGTTCATTTAATGCCTCGTCTCTTATACCATCTGGTGTTTCTGTAACCCATTGGTTTTGTGTTTTAAAATTATTTTTATAAATTACTTAATTTTTTTTATTTTTGCATGTTCCTTGTTGTATGTCCATCTTGCCGTACCCATTCATCTCAATAATTTTTCTTTTTGCTCTTGGTTTGGGTACATTCGAATCTTTTGAACTTTCAATAGACCATACTCCAAAGTTTCCATTTTAACCTTCTTCTTTTTTTTTTAATCTCCTCATGTTCTTTTCTTATTTTATATAACTCTAAAACTGTTATTCCTTGTTGTAAACACTGTGACTGATAAAAGATCTTCTATATTGGTGTCTGGATCTGATATTTTTAAAATTAATGTCAAGAACCATGAATCTGATTTTGGATTTGTTATTTTATAGAATTGTCAAAATCTGGTAACCACAATATCATTGATATCTCCCTGGTATGTGTGTTCTAGAATGGATATCGGCCAGAATCTCACTAGGGATGGTAATATGCAAGACCTTTCTGCTACTATACCATCTTCTGAGGTTGTGCATAAGATATATGTTTTTGTATAGAGTAGAAATTAAAATTTAACTGTGTTTAATCAGTTAATTGTAATTAAAGTAGTCTAATTAAATTTATCCAGTTAAAGTATATAATTAAGGTTAACTAGTTAATTGTTAAATTTCTTATTTAAATAAAAAGAGAGTGAGAGGAAAAAGAAAAAGAAAAGAAATAGAAAGAGAAAGGAAAGAGAAAGAGAGAGGAAATAGAAAGAAAGAGGAAATAGAAAGAAAGAAAAAAGAGATAGAAAATAGATAAATTTTTTAAATATATTAATCAAGTAATTAATTGGATATTTATATAAATATCTAGTATCAGTAATTATATTAATGCAGAAGTTTTCGAAATATTTTGTAACATTAGATTTCAAAGGTCATCGTTTGTGTCACAAATCTCCAAATTTGGAATCTATTGTTAAATTTTATTGTGAAATTGAAGTTCATTGTTATGTTTTTTGATATTAGCATAAACTTTCAAAATTCAATGGTTAATATTTTAACATATTTTGTTTTAAGTTTATCATTTTTAAACTATTTTGAATTTAATTATTTTATTATAAAAATTTTATTTTGTAATATTTCATTACTTATATATAATTTATTATTGGTTTTTATTATTAAATAATAAATATATTTTATATTATTTTTCTTTTTTTCTATTTATTACTAATTTTTTTACTTTAATTAAGTGATCCAATATTTCAAACAAATTTGAAATAGTTTTTCATAAAAAATGAAATTATTTTACTTAAAATTCAAAATTTTTGACTATACAGATAAATTCTTTAATTAAAGATATACTTAATTAGATATTTTTTTACTTCCATATATAGAATAGATTCTGTATAAATTTCAAAAAGATGAAATATCTCAAAAATAACATGTTGTGAAATGATATTTTACTATTATATTATTTATTTTCTTGAATGTAATTTATTATTTTATTAACTTATTTATTATTTAGATAAAATATAAGTAAATCATAAATTGTATAATAGGTGATATACCAGGTAAATCACCAGGTACATTATCTAGATAAATTACCTGTTATATATAACAGGTATATTATCTGGTTAATTATTTATTACTAAAATTAGTAGATTTGTAAATTGTAAATTGTAAATCTCGTAATATAGTAAATTAAAGATATATAAATATAATTTTTTTTGACTTTAGAAAGAGAGATAAGAAATAGTATGTTTCTATATGAATTGAACCAGAAATCAGTACTTCAATCTATATAGCATTTTTACTTTTTCACATCACTAAAAGCTTTTTTCTTATATCAATTTTTATATCATTTTACTTAATTTTTTTTATACATTACTTGAATAATGTGTAATTTATTTTTTTGACATTATCTCAATATTACTACTCTGCTTACTATTAAAAGACAAATGTCCTGAAGCTAACTGTGACATGCATTAGCAAGTTTAAATTTAATATTATTTTCTTTACTATTCTAATTCTCTTCTAAACTTTATTTAGTCTTCTATTACTGTGAAGTATAAACCTCAAAAGGTAAATGTAAAACAGTTGCAGAGTGAAACAAAATATAGTTAACACAGGTCAAAATTCAAATATTAGACATTTATTATGTACCTATTGGGTACCTAATATATTTACAATATTGGACACCTATCAGATATTTATTAAAAAAGAATAAACATATTAGGCATCTGATATAATTGATTATTACTAAATATTCAATAATTAATTTTGTAAATTTTATCATGTACCCAATATAATAGTGATAGGTGTGAGATAATTTTTATTATTATCTCAGGTTTCTGATATTGTCTTGAATATTAGGTACATGATAATAAATAGTAATATTGGATAGATGATATTCTAATTATTTTATTCAGGTATATAATATTATTATATACTCATTGTATTAGATAATCTCTTTATTATTATTAAATAAAATAAATTAAACATTAAATCTTCTTTTCAATAGAATTATTGAAACAAGCAGCAGGGAGGGTGAGCAGACTTTTCTATAATATGTTCTTCACTTTTACACCTTTGGGTTTTATGCTTTTCTGACTTTTTTAGACCTTTCTTAAGAACATATGACAAAAACTAATTAAGGAATTGGATTGAAAGCTTTCTTATTTAGTGACTTTCTCATTAATTTTACAGCTTTAACACTCTTAAAATGATATAAAAAAAATTTAATATTCAGAATTCGGTGTAATTTTACACATAGCTAGAATATCTTTAATTTTTTATAAATCGTCAAATTTAATAGTTTGAGATCCTCAATAGTTTTGAGTTTTTTTTAACGGAAATTTAACTAGTGAAATAATTGTATGTCTAAAGAGACTTTAATCTTTTATTAATCACTATAAATTACACTGTCTTTCTTATAAATTTTAAAATGGTAGAAAGCTGAAACTAATAACAAAAAAATAATGATTTAACGTATAACAATTTTTTTTTTTGTCGTTGTCTTTGGTATACTTTTATATGCTTTTTTTATTCATAGCAGGTGAAGAAGTAATATTCTTGCTAAGCTGACGAGCATAAAACTACATAACATAAAAGTCACCAGTATGATCTTTACATGTTTCAGATTTGGCGGAAGTAAATTTTTTGCAAATATTAAATTCTTTACAAGGATAATGTTTTTTAGATCTCCAATACTCATGGCATCCTTCAGGCTTTCGACATTCACGTCCACAGACTTCTCCAGAATTGTGTATATAATAACAGGTATATTTTTCAGATATGGGTAAAACAGATATTTTTTATTTAAACAAAAGATTTAATTAAGTAATATATAATAAAAAGTACAATATTCAAAATGGTAGATCACAAAAATATCAAATTCACTTTAGTTAAAGTGATTAAAGTAGCATATAGCCAAGGTACCAAAAAATATAACAAATTAGGAGTATCATATGTAAACTATCTTAAAACATTACAGCGAAAAAGAGATCCAGAAGATCATGTTAAATATGTTGCAAAACAACGTAGCCCAAATGAGAAAAC